CCCCACCCCATGGCGTTTTATTATTAAATAATAATTTAAATTAAACCCACTGAGTAAAAAATTTTTACTCAGTGGGTGATTGGCAGGCGCTCTGGTGTGATTTGCTATAACAATTTGCTCCTTCTGTCCTATCAAACATCTATCGTCCTTATCTCTTCCCTTTCTTGCCTCTGTGTGTTATTCCCTATTATTATGTTGACCTTCAATCGTCAGTACGTATACGGCCTTGAGCTATTGCACCTACCGTAAAACTCCTACTAAAACTTTAAAAACAAAAAACAAAACAAACAAACATAGGAAAAGAGTACTCACCCATGACTCGTATCCTCATCCAACCATCGCTCTATGTCCACCTTCTTGTCACTGTCCACTCTGGCCCCGCCCCCACTGCTCTCGCTCCGGCTGTGATTGGTCAACATCCTGGAGGCCGCCTGCCTCTGGCGCTGAGTGACAGCCTGGTACAGATCTGCCAGAGAGTCGCTCAGGTCCCAGGTCTCCTCCTCATTGTGGCCCAGAGACAGACCCACGGACTGGTGGGTGATGCCTGGGGGGGGCAACACGGCGAATACATAATTAATGAGCAATATCATAATGAGAGAATGGCAGAATGAAATTTGAAAAAAAAGCGAAATGTGCCGACGGAGACGTAAACGCCTAAGCGTACATTGAACCCCCAAAATCCCCCAACCCCCACCCCTCCAAAAAGACAACCAAAAAAACAACAACAACAACAAAACACACAATAAAACAATACAAAAACCCCCACAATAAAACAAACATACAAACAAAGAGACAACGCATTCCATACGTCCTGTAATATTATAAAACTTCATTGACTGTTCCGTTGGTGTTTCAATTTAGTTCTTTAAAATATTTAACAAATATCTCGACAATCTGTTAGCAAAAGTCTAAATTCGTTGAGTCCAAACAAACAAACTGCAAATTTCAAGACTGTACTTATACCCAGAAAGGAATTGAACTAAAATTTAAAAAAAAAACAACAAAAAAAACAAACAACAACAACGACAACGACAACAACAAACAAACAACATACAAACAAAGAACACACCGACAAACAGTCACACTCACCCTGGTGTAGAAACTCGCCTACGCTCCACCATGCTTTGCTGCCATGGTAACGCTGCCCGTAACCTTGACCTGTGTGGTACTGCTGCGCCGACCCTGACCCTGACCCTGACCCCTGCTGCTGCTGACTCCTGTCAGAATGACCTTCTGACCCACTCCTGGCCCTCACGTCAGAGGCGGCCTGGGAGTTAGTGGACATTCCGACACATTCTGTTCATGCTGCAACAAAAGCGAGGTGAGAAATTGTCCTTTAGTTTATGGTTTATGTGTGCTCGGATCAACGCTTTTGGACAAAGCAGGTAGGAAAGTAATTTGCGTAGGTAAAACGACGCACTTGCTTGCCCAACCCCTCTCATTGCCACATCCACTTCTCTTTCTCTTCGTCTTTCTCTTTCTGTTACTCTCTCTATTTCTCTCTCTCTCTCTCTCTCTTTCTCTCTCTTTCTCTCTCTCTCTCTATCTGTCCGTCCGTCTGTCTGTCTGTCTGTCTGTCTGTCTGTCCGTCCGTCTGTCTGTCTGTCTGTCTGTCTGTCTGTCTGTC